ACGGTGGCTGCAGCGAAATTTCTCCACAGTGCTTCCATTGTGTAGCTGGATTTTTTCTATTTTTGCCGTAAAATGAAAGCTAAAAGTAAAATTAGCTTATAATTTCATTTTCAAAAAAAAACACCAGTTTAAATAGGATGTGATATTTTCTTAAGTTGCAGCTTCTTTGTAGCTGGGTGTCTCGACGCTCTTGTGAGTCGAAGAATATATGCCCGTAGAATATTGGGGAAGGATCCATTATGTAACTGCTCTCAGAAGTACCGTATCCAGCATAGTGCTGAGCCCGCAATAAAGTAACAAGCTAAGCAGCTGAACCACTTCCACTTAAAGATGTCTGTGCTGAAAGGCAGTCTTATTTTTTACATTTGTTTTGGTGTCTTTGTGGGCTTTACATGTCTTCGTTCAGAACAAAATTTCTTTGAAATCTGCACTGGCTAGCACTTACTCATATGGTTAAGGCCGCTCTGTAAAAACGTTAGAAAAGGTGAGCCTAGAGGAAATATAATTTAGTGAAACTCATTTCGAAAATGAAAAACAGTTAAACGAACTTTAGACCTAACAGAAAGCAGACTTCCAGCTGAAATACACTTCTAAGCAAAGCGGCTGTTAACCAGAGAAAAGAGAATTCAGGGAACTGAGACCCACTTTTCAATTGCAGGATACGATGCCGCCATCGACGCCAGCGTCAGAAAATGAGTAGCGAATATGACATAAGCCTATAACAGAATGCAAGATTCCGAGATGTCGAGAGATTCGACATACCTGTCATCTCCAAATTCGTAATAAAAAAGGTATTTTTCCCTGCGTATTAATTTCGGGCAGATTTTTCAGCTTTTATCGGGGGTTCAACTTTTTGACCGTGGAATAAGCAGTTTTACGATTCACTTAAGTGTGCGCTTCCGAATTCAAAATCACCATTAGCTTGCTTTTGCACCAAACGCGAAAGACAGGATTAAGAAGTGGCCAGCTCTCACTGGTACTAGAACTAACATTCGGACTATTTCCGAGACTCCCACAAAGAGTGAATACGGAGATAGTATGGACTTTCTGATAAATTTTTTCCCGCAGACATAAAAACAGAAACAAAAAAAAAACACCAACAAACTGCATGAAATTAGACGCCAGTACTCTGTAGCACGAGCATATTTTCAAAGTTAAAAGACTGTTGTTGCTAGTGAAATGAATTTATGTGAAGGGCGACGCCAAACCATCTCATCATAAATATTTTGCTGAAAACTGGCGCCTAGATTTTACCGAGTCCACGCACCCGTATATGAGGACAAGAAATGTTTATGAGTAATGGTAAACTTTAACTACAACAATTCAAAGGAATACCTTTTTTTTCAGAAGCTCCTCACATACTGCATAGCAAAGGCTTAAACCTTCCTCATATGCAGTATCTAAAAAAACTGTGGATTATTTGAGCATCCGATGGAAAAAACGGAAGAAAAGGAGGGTAGGAAGAAGATTGGCCTTTTTACGATGTCTCAAAATTAGCCGAGTTTTTACAAATGTGGGATAAAAAAACGCAGAAAAATTCTAGACGAAGGCAGCGCACTACAGGCTGGAAGTCACAAAGTTCAGCTGAAAAGCATTGATGTTAATCACAGGAGCATAAAGTCGAAAAAATTGAAATTAATAGTGAGCTATTAAAAAGCAAGTAAGAATCCGGAACAGCATTGGAAAGCAAAAACACGATACTTAAGTAATTTAATCTTTAAAGCAGGCAAGAGGGAGAGTTCATTGTTAGATGAGTTCAAAATAAGAAAAATGTCAACTCACTGGGAGCAAGCTCATCGATAACGACAAGTGACGAAGCATCGGCGCTCTTTAAAATTGGTACCAATTCCGACATCTGTAAAACACTTGGCTTTAATTTCCATTTTTATTCAATCACTCACCAAGGACACGTCTGATACGTCAAATAATGAGAACACATAAAGTAGCACAAGTGAGGCGCGCTTGAAATTTAATACTCGACGAATTCCCGCATATATATTCCCTTTCCTCAAACTACATTTTTAAGTTTTTGGTTCCTCTTCCTCACTGGCCTTCCAGTAGCACCGAATTTCAAGGAATTATATGTGTTTTTCAGTGCAATTTAACTGTTCTAACGGAATGAACTTCACATTTTCTAATATTGGGCGGCAAAACTTTGAATGGACCTGAGATATCATAGTTGAACTTTATACTTTTTCGGTTATATTTTGCATCGTTGATTAAACTAATTTCGAATTTTTTCTTTCTCAGCGCTGATCAGTTTGATACCCTAAGATAAATGTTGCTGATATCTTGCTTCAAATTTGTTAGATATATAAATAACTTCTTGAACAAAATGCATAAGTTTCATTTTTTTTTATTCTGTCCAGAACAAACCTCGAGAGCAAAAGTGGACTTTTTGGATACAGCATCATCATTGTGTCCAATGCGCGAAAAAATTCTTTTGAGAATGGGAAATGCGGCCATTTCGGCAGGGACAAAGCTTCCAGTTTGCGCCAAAACTTGCAGCAAACAAACTTGCTTTAGGTAAGTTGATTTTCCTGCCTAAAAACATCACGAGAATGAGAAGGGCTGACGACATTTGATATTGCCGTGATTGTTTGCACTGCTGCTGTAAAGTTGTAACTTAATACAGAAAAGGAAATAATGGAGTGAAGGAGGGAGGCCCTAACCCATTATTCTTCGATGAACGGCTCACAGTTAGCTCTATGAAAACAAACGATTGAATATGAGGTTCTTGCGCTAGCATAAACAGCTTCTGACAAAGAAAGACTGGAATCAATCTTAGTTTTGGCCCTTTTCCCTCGCAATATTCTTGCGCGACACGGGAGTTTTTAATTTTTGAAGTTTTCTGAATATTTTTTCGGTAATACGAAACTGTTTTGTTCAGCAGAAATAGCACATACCATGTTGGGGCCAGTGATAATTTCAACCCTCGATTCTGGTGATATGTACTGAAAACATACAGAAAATTGAGGAACCTGATAAAAATTAAG